GTGTGCCTTCATGTGTGATGTGTGCTAGCTTGAAATCGTTTATATGTGCAATTTATGTCTGACGCGTGAAGCGTGATATTGAAATCGCTTGCATGTATAATTGTTGCGCGATGTGTGATACCTGTTTGCTTCAACTCGCTTGCGTGTCTGAATGAAGCGTGATGCGTGACGTCTGTTTGCTTGAATTCTTTTGCTCGTACACGAATTTTCGCGTATTCTAATTCTTAGTTAGACATGCACTGTATCGTAGTAATGGCTGTCAATCTCTCCTTGTATGCTCCGCTGAATATTGATGTCCTTTAAAACTGTTGCTTGCTGTTAAAAAAATATGAGAAATCGAGTAGGATTATGGGCAGGGAATTTTGAATTCACTTCTGCTATTGTTTCGATAAAGACATGTTACCGAAATATCAACCAATATTTTTCTTCATTCCCCTGGTTTTCTCGGAGGAATAAGGCTATTACTACTGTTTTATCCATGTAAAAGTATCTTAGACCAGATCGCCAAAAGAAAGGAACATAGCATACTATGTTGTCGATACTTATCACGTGCCCGGGTGGCCGGCTAAATGCCCTTCGCTGGGGCGGGAGGGTCAATTTGCCCCCCCCCCCCCCTGAGATCTTGGGAATTAACGGAGCTAGAGACACCAAATTCACAGAACGTATTGACCTGTACGTGAACTCACTTAGGTCAAATTTTATGGGTCCTAGATCATGATCTTGGGGTCAAAAAGGTCAAACAAGGTCAAATCCCAGGCTGATCTCCAAAGTGTCCCTCGGAACCTAGATAACTGTTTCTAAGCACAAGGACACATTCTCAGTTTAATTCAGTGACCTTGTCTGACCTTTTGAAGGCCATGATGACCAAAATCATACAAGCCTGCTCTGAATTTGTCGTTTGGATAAGCGACAAAAGATTATGCTAGGCGGTATGTTTCTAAAAACGATATGTCGACCTGGGTCATTTTACGTCAATGACCTATGTTTACCTCTAAGAAGTCCATGGAAGATATATCATACGGTTCCTGCTAGCAATAAACTCGAAATGAGCAGCAGAAGCTTTCCCATACAGCAAGCCCTAGAGTAATAAAATAGGCTGGTTTTGACCTTGGTCTCACCGCTATGCCTGGCCTTAGGTCAACGTCATTTGCTCATTTAATATTTGTGTTGCCTGAGAAAGCATCTCAGAGATGTGTGGCTTAGTCTAACACTTCGTTGTTGCATCAGACTGAGCGATTCTCTAGAAATTGACTGGATCGCTGAAACCATACCCTGATTTTGACCTGCCATAAATCAGCGTCCTTGCAAGGTACATCTAAATTTGTGACCTTAAACGGTCTGCTATTCAATTGTCTACAGCTATGCAAAATTTGGTGCGGCCGCACCGCGCCGTTTGGAAACCATTCCGGAAAAACCTTCGGGGCAAGGGGCCGAATTGACCCCCCACCCGAGCGCGTCTTAAACCTCTCCTCACGACAAGGTGTTTATGGCGATGTCCAGACGACCATCGGTCAGAGTTAGACGACGTCGTTATTACTTACCTTTTGAAAAAGGATTCATGGGCGTGAGATGCCGTCTTCAAAACGGCTACTATCATCAATCACAAGTCACAAAACGGCTAATAAGATGGTGATTTGTGCTTGCTTAAATAATTGAATTACGATTGATTAATTTGCAATAGCTTCCTGGTTTGATTTCAAAACGAATGCGTTAAATGACACAATGAAGTCCATGTGCGGGCTTCTGTGCTCCATTGCTCGCAAACTTTGCAGGTCAAATTGCAGAAAAGTTGGCGGCTGCTAACATTTCTAAGTACTTTGACTGTTAAAGGAAATGTTTCACATTTAAATGTGGTGAAGCAAGCATCAGATGCAACGAAAAAAGTTACTGATCACTATCGGAAAACTTTGTATAGAAGAGACTGCTGTAGACAACACAATTCATCTCCTTGGCACATATGCTCCTCGATGCGTCATTGTTTGAAAACGCCATTGTGCCTTGCCTAACATTGAGGGCCAAATGACGGCCGTTACATCTGGAAATTGTGCTCGTGAACGCCAGATGTAAACGACTCGGCCATTATAACTCTTCTCGGCCTTGATCGCCGCATGACTTGTTCAATGGCAAGATTCGAATAGCGTTATTAGGACGTCATGATGACCTTATGATGACCTTATGATGACCATGGGTGACCTTAAAACACTCTCCCCGGAATACGCTCCCCATTTTGTGGGTGTGTTGCTCAGGAAATAGACGGATTTAGGTTTCAAGGACAGGGCTGTGAGCTGTACTGAAAAGTCTTTACGATGGCTGTTTTAGTTAAAAACTTCATATAAGTGTGGAATACTCCCGTTAAGCATCGAACTCTAATACATGTTTGAGTGACATTTATATAACTAAGCGATATTTCTACCGGCCGGACGTCTAAGCGATACCGGCCGGACGTCACCTCCCTCCCCCCCCCCCCCGGTCACAGCGCCCTCTGGGGACAGGTTGGCAGGCCGACCTGACGCGCTGGACCTGGGGGCGCATGGACGTGCTGCTCGTGCAGCGCACCCAGGGTCTTGCACTCCTGCGCCAGCTACCACTCCCCCTTCCTCCAGTGCTTACACTGCCTCCGGTGGTTGTGATGGGTCCGCCCCCGGGTTCTCCGCCGGGGGCCGCTAATGCACTTGCTCCGTGCATAGCGTCGTTCCTCGCCCAAGGCCGGGGCTCAAAACGGGGCCACCGTGGCCGTTGTCTTCCACGGACGTTGGGACCTCAAAGGTCCTGCTCAGGGCTCGGTCTGCATCTGCCGGCGCCGTACGGCGCGATGTGCAGCCGTTTGGGCTGGAGCCGAGCCCCACTTTTAAGTTAGTGACTTTTTCTTGATTGGCGACTGGGACCCACCACGTCGTTCTCAATGTTACAACGGAACATTCGCGGGCTTAGGACCGACGTCACCGACCTGCAGCGGCTCCCACTCTCCCTTATCCCCATGATAGCGTGCTGGCAAGAAACAAAGCTTTCTTCCAACAACGAGCAAGCCATAAAATGCAAACCGCATGTTCAGAGATGGCGTGAGGTTGTGCACGATCGCCCATGGTGGTGCTGCCGTTCCAGTCCATGACAGCTTGCCCCGCGCTGAGCTCGCTCCTCGTGCTGTACCGCGGGCTGTCGCCGTAGCTGTTGACCTAGGGGGTAGTTCAGGCGACCGGTTGCTCCATGCACCTGCCACCAACGGAGGTCTCGATTGGTTCATCGCTGGAATCCACCTTCAACCAGCCGCCTTCATCGTTTTTGGTTCTTGGTGATTTTAACTCGCATAACTCGACGTGGGGTTGTGATCTTACCAACAGCAGGGGAAGGAGGCTTGAGCGTCTCCTCAACAGGGACAGTCTGTGTGGTTTAAACACTGGACTGCTACGTTTCACTGTCGTCACCTAGCACTTCTACTATCGATCTTTCAGTGTGTGCGCCAACACTTAACAGCCAGTTTTCTCGGCTTGTTGATGGATCTCCGCTAGGCAACGATCCTTTTCCCGTCTGGCTGGCTCTTAATGCTGCCCACCCAGGTATCCGGCAGCCGAGATGGAACCTCCGACGAGGCAACTGGTCCTGCGTTTACCGCCGGGTGTTTGCCCCTCATTCGGAGATTGGACTACATGTCCTATAGATCACGTCAATTCTGTTATCGTTCAGGCAGCCGAAGAATCCATCCCAATGAAGTCTTCAGAACCACGGCGGCTGCCGGCGCCTTGGTGATCAAAGCTATGTAAAGCAGCCATTTTAAGCAGAAAAAGAAGATTCAGACGTTTCAAATTGTCTTCCACGGATAACCTTATTTTGGTCAAGCGAGTCCGAGCGCAGTGGGTCAGGTCAGGTCAGGCAAGCGCTGTGTGTGGGTCAGGTTAAGCGCTGTTCATGACAGGACTACGTGACAAGCATTAATAATTTTACTTACTTGACGCAAGTATGAAGGCGCATTCGCATAATTTCTGGTTAGTGCCCCTCTAGTCCATTCCCATGCCTAGCCATAGGTAACACCACTGTTACCAACACAGCAGAAGTGGTTAACGAGATTGGCCGGGTGTTGTCGTAGCGGTGTGGTGGTGGGCTCCCCGATCCAAGTTTATATATCTGAAATATCTGAAAACTGAGCATTCTGTAGTAAGCGAAGTCTTGCAGCGGACGGCGGCGTCTAAGCGGGCTGGGCGGTCGGTGGTCTTTGTCTGGGTGCCGGGGTACATCGGACTGGCTGACAACGATACAGCTGATGCTGTTGCCAAGGAGGGAGCAACTGGCCGGCGACCCCGTTCAGCTTACGTACCGTTCCGCGATTTCAAGCAGCTGCTGCCCCTTGTTTGAGGGAAAATTGGCAGTAGACCTGGGACCGGGTGAGCGTGGAATCTGAAGGTAATGGGAAAAACAGACTTCGTGCTGTAAAAGAAAAGGTTGGCGAATGGGCAAATTTTCACCTTTTCTTCTCTCTTGGACCTCTTCTCCTCTTCCAAAGGACCTCTTCTCACAAGAGAAGAGGTCCTGTTTTGACGTCTCTGTATCGGCCATTCTTGCGGAGCACATAGCTTTCTTCTATCAGGAGGTCAAGCCCCCACGCGTCCGCAATGTGACCACTCGCTGTCAGTTGCTCACGCGTTGGTTCAGTGTCGCCAGTCTGCTGATGAGCGTCGGCGCTACTTTGGCTGCAGCACACGTCGCGGATTGTCAGGGCGTTCCCTCTCATTCATAGGCGCGAATCCTACCGTTGATGTCAAGGTTGTTGAGTCTTTTATGAATGACATCGGTTTTAGAGCCATATACTCACCTGTTTAATGATCATTGACTCCGCGTTACTTGCACTATGTAGAGCCTACTCCGGCAAAATAAGTCCGCGCACCTAAAACCACGGATAAGCTAGACGCGTAATTATCCCTTGACACATTTAGGGGCGCAGACGGGTGCTGCAGTTGAGGCGTCCCTTAATTCAAATATCGTCATCATCCTTTTATTTGAAAGTCAGCTGACTGTTAGCTCGATCCAGTGTATTAGCCCTGAAACTTCTCGTGCTAGCTACAGAGTATCATGCCACAAAGGTATGACATCTATTCACAGTCGCTATAGACCTCATAGACTATTGTCAAACCGGCACCGGTCGGAACCTTCGTTAGTGGGTGCTTTAGTAGCACAGCTAAACAAGGCTCCTCAAATACAACTATTTACACTAAGACAGGTAACGGGTATCGAAGCAAAATAAGAATAATATTACGACCTGAGTCACGTGACACGGGCAGCAAATACACACCAAGCACCTCCCAGGTGTACCTTAACCTGATCCACAGAACCGATCTCACTTTGGTCAGTTCGGTACTAACGCCGCTGATGTTCATGCTTTTGCGCTAGCCAGATGACGTCCAAGAGACGGACAGGCGAGACCAATACAGGTTTCTCGGGGTTGCTGATGGCTTCTAACCGTCACTGAAGCAGCTTGTTTAAAGCCTCTGAGAAATGGAACATTGCCTATGCTATGTCACTGGACCGTTGCAGTTTTAATGGCAGCAGAAAGTACAAACAGACAACAATATGAAGACACTTTCAGCATGAGTCTGGAGGTCTGACGATAAGTGCTCGACCTTCAAAGTACCTGGAGATGCTGGTTAAAGTGCGTGATAGACAAAACATCGGTTAGGTTGAGCGTGCTCGTCTTTTCAGCTAGACGGATAATCATGTTTAACCAGCGCACCATGGTATACTGACGGTCGATAACTGAGCGGGGGGACATTGAACTCGAAGCGCCGAAAAACAACAGAAGCTGAAGGTCTTTCTTGCGTACATGAAGTTCATTTCACATCGGAGGTATGATGTACACACGCACGGGATGTCACGTTAAAGAGAGGAAACTGAACCCTTCCTCCAACTAAGCCAAAATTGCAGAAAAACGTTTGCGCGCAGGGCTGGCGGAGAGGTAGCGGCACCGCCAGGCTATCTGAAATCCTGTCGAAAGTCCCATCCTCATTTCTGGAAGCGTTCGTCCCATTCCTTCCGCGTTCTTCTGCTGCTTCTCCCGGTCAGTTGCGTTTCCCCCTGGGTATCTCAGATACTCTGAATACTCCTCTCCCTTTCGGTATCATCCCGCCTGACTTTTCTCAGAGAAGCAGACGGCTGGCAGTGGTGACTACAGTAAGCGAGACTAGGCTCAGAAGGCTGTGCCGGCCGGCTGCCCCGCCCGTGCGTCCCTGCGGGCACGCGGTCGCCTCCGCCACCAGAGGCTCGAACTCAGGGTACGAAAACGGTCCCGCGTGCTGTGGACGGAGGAAGCACGGGCATTAGGCAGATGACGAGAACGAGCACGGAACCGTCCAAAGAGCCGTATGCGACTGTTTTGTCTCAGGTGTGGATCCCCCACGGGGAGCTGATCGCCAACGATTCATCGCAGCCTCCACCCCATATATCAGGAGAAGTGCAGTATTATTCTGCAGCTAAGCTTGCTGCCTGCAAAAAAGGGCGATACATGTTTGTTCAAGTTCAGACGAGGTAGGACACTCCATTGACTGTACATTAACGCAATGCGTAGTTTGTTATTCAGTTAGTTAGAAAGTTCTTTTCCCGATTTCCCCTGATATCAACGATTTTAACACGCAAACTGCTGGGGTCTTGGCTAGTGCTGCCCTCTATGTTCGTTGATCCGGGCCGTGACCCGAGCGCCAGCAGGGAAGGTCGGGCCTCGCTGCGAGTGAGCATCAACATTGTTCCGTGTGAGCTGTTGCGTTCCTGCTACAAGAGCTGCCAATCGGAGGGAGTGAAGACGGTACATAGACGTTGTGCACGTACCCTCTGTATTCGCGGGCCTTGATGCGGTCAACGCGATATCTCTCAAGGAGAATTACGTACGGCGCGACATGCCAGCTTCATGTACGCTTACTCTGACATGCCCTTGATGTGCTTCAGCAGCTGGCTCTACCTCGTCTCTGTAGTCGCTCTGTAAGACCAGTTTATCGTTTTGGACACACGATGGAAGACTTGGCCACCGTTGACCTGCGCCTGCAGGGCATCCACAGCTGGCTGTCCCCCAGCTCATCTGAGTAAGGTACTCGTACAGGGTGACGGTCGGCGAGCCTGTGAGGTCACACCTTACTCGTGTCACGGGGCACAGCGCCAACGTGCCCTGTCCTAGTATTTCTGGTCTTCCCAGACTGTCAACGTAACATGAAGTGCGGCCCCGCACAAGGCGTGATTAATGCGTGCTTGCGTTCTGGTTAAGATCCAAAGAGCTAGCAATGCATTACGGGTACACCTCATATGATGCGCGAGCAATAGGCAGTCGCATTATAGCCACAGTCCCGCAATGCGTAAGTTGTCAGAAGTTGCATCATTTACAAACATGTGTAGAAACCATTCCGCTGCATCAGTTGCCGTCTTCTCATCACGTACGCGTACCTTCCACTGACACCTTCATGGTACTAAGCTGGGCTTTATTGAACCAATCGTCGCGAGACCCCTCGGCGGAGGCATTAGTCGCCGATCCGATATTCTCTTCGTCTTCCGTCTCGTTTTTCAAAGCCTGAAAACGTCGATGTTCGGGCCCTGTGAGTGGGAGGCAGTTACCCACTTTTTCCCATGTGGCTTAAGGGGCGGATTACATCAGGGACCACGGTCACATTGGCCGGGCATTCTGGCCGTTATTTCACATATGACGGACGGGCTTCTGTGTGACGTAGTCTGGCCAAGTAGACGACGAACGCTTGTTGGAGGAGCGTCTAATTCTGAAGGTCTAAAGACAGTCAGTCAGCATATGAATATTTCCAACTCAACGAACATCAATAGTTTAGCCCAGGGAGTACCTTCATTCTTACCATAAGCTGGTTGGCGCCATCCGCTTTGTATTTGAACCCGCCGACGGTCCAGACGTCCCCTCCGCTGACCGGGCTGAAACAGTGGCTCACTTTGGAAGTCCGACGAGGCAGTGCGAGATCCACACGCATGTCAGCAAGGAAACCTTTTCGGTCGTGAGACGTCCAATATTTGAGTATATGCCCCCCGCCGAGAGTTCGACGACCTTACGCGATCTTTACGCGAGCTGTTCAGTGCGTCAGCGAGGAACATTATTCACATAGATAAGGCAGAAGTTTTAGCCTCATTCCTCGGAGGAAACCAGGAGGATGGAGATATAGTTGGGTTGATATTTCGGCAACGTGGCTTCATTGAAACCATAGTAGAAGACTTGCTATTGTTTCGATGTACGCATGTTGCCGAAATATCAACCCAACTATATCTCCATTCTCCTGTTTTTTTTTCTCGAGGAATTAAGGTAATACTACTGCCTTAACTCATCTTACACCTTGCGACCTTAAATGCAGCTGCACGTGCAAGTAACCAGCAAGAAGACGAGCTCCGCGCGCAACAGGTGTACTTACGGCAGCTCCAGACCAGTGACCTCCACCGCTCGCACGCCCAGGTCCTTCAGATAGTGGCCCACGTGAGGGTAACTGCCACAGCCGTGCAGGTGCGTCCGCGGGTAGTACGTCAGGAACGCCAGGCACATCTCGTTCCGGGTGGCGAATCCACCCTGTACGCAGCGAGCAAGACAGAGCGCCGTGGCGAATGGCACGTCGAATCAAAGGTGGAACGTCACAGGAAACGGCATGGTGTTGTCTTGTGTAATGACACGGTGACATCACAGAATATTGTCTTGCATAATGGCATGGTGACGTCACAGGATGTCCGTCCTTCGCTAAATGATTTCATAACGTTTTACGCTGTTGTTAGGGATCACAGAGAAGTAATTTGTTTACTCATACAGTGTGCACATGTGTCTCTCCCCACTTAAGTAAGTCAGGAGGCCACAAATGGCGTTCTACGATCCGCACATGCTCACCAATCTATTACATATGTACATTATGCAATGAGATGGTTGCAAACGACTACGTCGGCTCCTTTGCCATCAAGCTGACAACAAGATCGCTTGGTTGCTTGATGGCAAAGGTGGCGGTTGCTTCGGATGAGATCTCTAGGCCTTGTCTTGCGCCTGACCACGCGGTGTGGTGTAAGCAAACGTTGATTTGCAATCTATGCTAACCTGGACGATGGTATTCATGGATTGCCAATGACCATACGTAGGACGACTGTTTTTACTTATTTCCGTCTGGCACCCAGTGACTGCGAACCATCACACATGCACTACCAGAGTTGCGCCGGTAGTCACCGGTAGGTGGCAACTGTGTTAGGTCATTACCAATTGGTAGTAATGTAGGCAATAAAGCAGTAAGGTAATACTACCAGCAGTTAGGTCAGCTGGCTACCGCCGTACATTACAGACGCTCCCAGTGTTGAACTCCTTGTGCCGATGACTTGTTCTCAACATCTTGTAGCAAGGGGTACCTCGACTTTCACTTTTATTTCAGTGTGGGCGTTATTGTGCTGTAGGGACCAGAGGGGGCAGCATCATATCTATTCATTAAGGGCGGACAGGCAAAAAAAATATCCAAACACAACGGTGGAATACTACAACGCCACTTGAGAAGGAGCTGGGCACGTCACGGCAGAACGTCATGGTTCAGCGTTACGACACGGTACGGCGGAGCGCTCAAGCGAATGACGTGGCGGACGAGGGATTTGGCGTCGGATCATCGAGAGCCAGTCATAAGTCAGACATGATGCTCACCATGGTGACGTTGGTGCGGTCCTCCGTGTTGTACCCGCAATCCAAGAGAAGTGTGTCGCCAGGCAGGATCCGCACCTTTTGGCTCATTATGCGAC